ACAGTTATAGAGTAGCAGCGAAAATAATTTTATGGTTGGGGGTCACCACAACATGAGGAACTGTATTAAGGGGTCGCGGCATTAGGAAGGTTGAGAACCGCTGACTTAGAGCCATGTGCAGAAGCTCATCTTGAAGGAAAGGGACCCTCTGCCCAGCCATTCCCAGGAGGAGCAGGGCTCTTGTTAATGGAAGCCGGCCTGATCTCCTTGACCTGGTGTGGGAGCGGGGAGTGGGGCTGTGTGTACAGGTTGGGGAGGTGATGGGCACCTGCTCCCCCATCCACCCAGTATTGAGGGCATCTCTTCTGAACCCCACCCAGGGACTCTACAAAGATGAATCAATGTTGTCCTGTGGATGGACCCGGTGGTCTTTTGGGGCAGTGGGAATGATTCTTTTTTAACATCTAAAAATCCCTTAACAGGGTAGAAGCTGCAACGGGGCAGAGTCCTGTGGGCCAGGAATCATTATACTTTATCTGATTTAATCTGCACTCTTGTGAGTTGGGTGGTCGTAGGAAACATGCAGAAAGAGAAATAACTTGTCCAAAGTCACCAGTAGTAAGTAGTGGGGCTGGGATGAAGTCCCGGTCTGCTCCTCTTCCCAACCCAGAGTTTGCCTGTACCTTTGCCATTCGCCCTTGCTGCCTCTCCAAAATAGTCACCGCTGACCTCCTAGCCGAGGACATTAGGCACAAGGGCTGGGTGGTTTGCCTGAGGTCACAGCACCGGGCCTCTGGATTGCAAATCTGCACTTGGAGAGTGCAGCCTGCACGAAAGGAAGGCAGACAGCCCGCCCGCTGCTCTCTGCAAGCCCCCACCTGCCAGCCTGCCTAACCTCGTTCCAACTGCCCCTGGGCCTTCTGGCCCTTCCAGGACAGGCTTGTTTTCCAGGAAAGGGCTTGCAGAGGAAGATAAAGCAGGTGTCTCCGGTCAAATGCCCTCCTGCCTTTGAAAGGACTGGCCTGGTACGCCTGCCAGTCCACTCCCTTGGTTCCCTCAGTTCCATTCCTGGGCTGGGGCTGCCTGGCCTTTCATCAGGTGCCAGTGGTCCCTGGCCAATCGCTGGGCACGCATATGGGGGGCTGTTTGGAGATAGGCACAGGGCTGTCTGCAGAGCTGGACAAGGGAAACAGGATATGAAAAAGATGGTGACAAGTTCCGGCTGGGGCTCCTGGCTCCTCCAGAAGGAGACAGTCTGTGTCTCTGTC